GTAGGGAATAAATGCCTGTATGACATGGCTATTTTAGATCTGCTCGGGAAGAGAGGTTGGTTATTGGTGACCAGTGCCTGGTGACCTGCCTCCTTAGTTGAGTAGTTTCTGTACTGTGGCTTCAATGTGGTTTGCATGGGATCATTAAATAAACATGTGCCGAAATTTTGCATATTTCCTCAGCAAAATTTTATTATACCTCCATCAAGGAACAGGAGCGCCATACTTATTAAAATCAGTAGAATCCTGTATCCTTAGCTTGGTGGAGAGTGAGCACAAATATGCAGCCAGGGATGCTGTGTGAGGTGACCTGTTGGCCTGAGTCTGTCATGCTCTGTGGTCTCCAGTGGAACGGCAGCTGCAGGACTCTTATTTTTGTGACGTGAAGCATGTCTGGGTGTGTGGCAGAGGGAACTGAAATACACTCTGCTGACTTTTTATACCTTCATATTTTTTTTCATTGCTCATTTTGGAAAAGGGAAGCCCTCACTGGGGCCAAATTAATGGGTTTTGCTCTAAATTAATTTCATTCCTCCCCTACACCCTAATGGCGACTGACTTCCAGTGATATGGAAAGGCAATATGGTGAACTTCTCAGCCCCCGAAGGGAGATTTCCAATGAAGGCCAAGAGGTTCATGTTTAGGTGGACAAATTTTTCTGTGATGGAAAAAGGAATGTCCTGGGAGACTTAAAAGACCCTCAAACCACATGCTAAATAGCAAGAAACCTTCAGGCTTTAAGGCTATTCTATCTAGAGCTACAATTTGATCAGGGGATTATTAAAATTTCTATTTAATTCTACTTTGGGAAATTGGGCTTTCATCTTCTCTGCTGATGTATTTATTATTTCAATCTGCTCTTTCATTTTCTTTGGATAGTCTTTTTCATTGTTATTTTAAAACATTTTAATAATTCTTAAAAATTCGTTAAAATATTCCAGTTCAGTTGCTTTCTTTTTTCTTTCTTTTCTTTTTTCTTTTTTTTGGGGCAGTATGAATTCAGGGGCACTCAAACACTGAGCCACATCCCCAGCCCTATTTTGTATTTTTTTTTTTTTTAAAGAGAGAGAGGGAGAGAGAGAGAGAGAGAGAACCCGGGCCACACGCATGCCAGGCGAGCACGCTACTGCTTGAGCCACATCCCCAGCCCCTATTTTGTATTTTTTATAGAGACAGCGCCTCACTGAGTTGCTTAGTGCCTTGCTTTTGCTGAGGCTGGCTTTGAACTTGCGATCCTCTTGCCCCTGAGCTTCTGGGATTACAGGCATTAGCCACTGTGCCTGGCTCAGCTGTTTTAAAGTTAGTTCAATTCAGGGATCCAGCAGCCCCAAGGTGAGGCAATCATGATTTCAGACAAACTTCTTTTCCTCTTGCAAAGTTGTGTTTGTGGGCTCATTTCTCATACTGGTGGCAGTTAGAAGCACAATGTTTACTGTGGAATTAGGTCCATTGTTGCTCCACAGAGTTTGGTGTGAAAGGCACTTCATTTTTGGGCTCCCTTAGGAATTGTCCTGAGGCTTTGGATTCTGATATTTCACAAACACTTTGCACAGATGCTGTCGGAAGCAGCCTCACTCTTGTCTGCTCAGATGGAGTCAGTTACAGGATTCCTTGGCAGGTGGTTGCGGACACAGGAGTGGGCATCAGGCAACCTTGGGAGCTGTGGGACTTTGCAACTGTAATAGCAGGAGGCGGGGACTTAGAAATTGCTCTGCATACACTCTGTTGTTTCAGGGCACATCTGTTGACACTGGCTTCCAAGGAAGTCCAGGCATTAGAAGGCGATACTCTCTGCTGGCAGCACTTCCTCCAAACCCTCTTTGTTCATTGATTTAAAAACAACAGGAGGCAGGAAGCCCAAGATCCTGGAAGTGCCCAGCTGGTCTCTGTCCAGCCAAGTGTGTGGTGTGTCCCCTTCCTGGTAGGGAGTGAAACTTGGAGGCCTCTGGGCCCTTCCCCAGAACTGTATATGCAAATCAAAGTGGGGAGAGCAATGTACCTCTCTTTGATCTAGGCTGAGATGTGTGCACATGGGATGGAGCCTTTCTGGTCTCCTAGCTAAGGTTAGAGGGTGACCACAGTGCTCGGACCCCTAGATAACTTCATACCCTGAATTTTTCACAAGTGCACAGTGCCTTAGTCTGCATTAGCTGGAAGTCCAGCTAGAAACAAGCATGGGTTGGATGACATGAGTGTGAACGACGCTGATGTGGCTGTGGTGACCCTGAGAAGGGGTAAGCAGAATATGGGAGAAGCAGGTATCCCTGCTGTTTGCCAAGTAAGGCCACACCTAGGTTCCATGAGCAGCATGGGGCATCAATAAACAGATACAGACATGGCAAGTGGAGTTTATATGGGAGTGATACACCCAGAAAGAATGCTTGGGGTTAAAAAAAAAAAGTCACTAAGAATTGACTAAGGACTGGGAAGTCATTCAGATCTCCAGGACCTTCAGATGCTAAAAAAGGATATTATTACTAATGATAATATTAGTTCACATATATCAAATGCTTATCCCGTGCCAAATTCTATTGCAAGCACTTTACATGTTGTAGGGTTGTAGGATAATATTATCCAATTATCCTACAACATGCATACCATTATGATCCTCATCTCATGGAGGAGAAAGCTATAAATGGATGAATTTAGTTTCTTTAGAAAGTAATGTAAAGAAATATAGTTCTTCTTACCACAGACAGGTTCAGTAGAAGGAAAAGCATTCTGACATTATAGTTCTCCAAAGGACAGTGGAAGGGATGGAAGGAAGAGAAGAAAAAAACATGTATTAAGCATTTGCCATATGCCTGAGCCTGGCCTTGGTATCTCCCGTGAATCACTTCAGTTAATCCTTGCAATAATTGTATTAGGACTGGGTTATTATTTTCATTTTACAGATGAGGAAACTGAGGCCCAGAGTCATTCAATAAAACTGAAAATTTTCTAGCAGTAAGTAGCAATCTTGAATACCAGTGTTTTTGGCTATCCCGTTCATTGCTGTTGCTTCTTAGAATCAAGGTGAAGGTGATCGGAGGCACAGATACTAGGCCAGCTTCTCCTGTTGTATACTCATGTGTCAGCCTGAATTTCACAGGCTTTGGCCTTCATTCCGCTGGTAGCTGTTTTATTGCTTATATTCCTGACTAGACTGCAAGATGAACATGGTGCCCAGGAATTTGAAAGAGTGAATGAAGACCAGTACAGAACCCTTTTTATGACAAGAAAAGTTAAAATGAGGATAATTAATCTCCCATTGGGATGTTGTAGAGAGATTCTTCTGTTAAATCAGGGATGAATTATCGGTGATTCCAATCCCAGCACGTCTTCAGAATTACCAGAGGGATTTCTATCCATTTTGACTCTTAGGCCCACCCAAAATTAGATTCTCTGGGAGCAGGGACCTGGCTATCAGATTTGGCATCACTCTGGTTGATTCTGCTACATGGTCAGGTGAGGGACCCCAGCTGATGTGTCTGAAGACTAGCCTGATGCACATCATCTGTCCCTGGGCTTGCTTCCTTCTTGCTACCTGTGCCTAAGCTTCTCTGCCTACTGGGCTTTGAGGCAAGGCCAAGCTGATACCTACAGCCCAAAGGGAGGTCTTGTGCTGACTCAGGCCCAGGACCTTATCAGCTGAGTATTTGCTGAGCAAAGTTCAGCCAAGGTAGCACTCTGGATCCGGGTTTAGCAGCTACTCAGGCTTCCGGGCCTTTGATTCAGAGACCAGGTCCTTGGGGCTCTTATCAGTGAATAATAATGGGCCCCGTATGTGAGTCCTAAGGGTCAGCACTTCTCACCACTCTTGGCTGATCGAGGCCTGGCCTCCAAGGATCCAGAGCCCCTAGACCACAGGCTGTCTGAGCAGGCACATTGTCACAGCATAGCCAGGATTACTTTTGGCTTGCTCTCCCTGGTTAAGAAGAACCCTGTGATCTGGCCCATATTTGGATTGGTCTTTTGGTTTCTTGTATTTGGGTTGGTGCTTTTAGTTTCTTTGATTACAAAGGTAGAGAAAACCTTTTAGCAGCAAGGAAAACCTGGTCCCAGGTTGTATAGTTCACCATTAGGTGTTTGTCCTATGTCCTGGGCGTTCCAGAGAACCTAGGTGCCACTTGCTATAGCCCATTAATTCCAAAGGTACTGAAGAGGTGAAGGAAAGATGAATGAAAGCACATTTTAAAGAATCACCAATTGATTAATCAACAAATAGCTACTGAACTCATTAGAGATATGCCACTTGAGAAGATATAGATAAATAAGGTGTAATAGCTCACCTTGGGAAGTTTATAATCTAGCTGTGGCATTAGAAATTTATACCAAAAATAATATTATATGCAGATAAAAATTTCTTGAGTGCTTACTGTGTATCTGATTTTATTCAAAACATATAGCTAATTTCTTATTTATTAGGTCAAGTGACTCCTCAGAATATTCTTTTGATAATAAATTCAGAGTCTCAGGGGCAGGATTCGAGGCCTGTGCCATTGGACTCAGAGTCCCAGATCTTTCTGCCGCCCTCTGCTGCCACCTATGATGAATACTAACCAGATCTGGGAATATTTGAGTTGTGGTTATAGAAATTCCATAGTTTATAGGGGTTGAAAGACGTAGGAGAGAATCTGCCCATGGTAAAATCTCAAGAGATGAGGAGGTAAGACATATAGGGACCATGTAGAGAAAAAGACAGACCTTCTGGTGGAATCAGAGTGTATGTAGCTGTTACTGTGCAAAGTGGTTAGAAAAATGGTTCAGATCTCACTGTGAAGTCCTTTCATTTTAGACAGAGGGGTTGGGCATCAACTGCTGGGTGTGAAGGAGCCACAGTGGGCTTGAGGGCAGGAAGAGTGACAATACTGGGAGAAATATTCTAGGAAGTCTCATGTGGTCCTCTCAGGTGTTCAAGCACAACTTAGTAGAGTAGGTGGATCTTTGAGACAATGGGCACCTGGGTTTGGGGTTTGTCTGAGAAGGGCTACAGGTTCCAGTGACATTGCTTTCCACAGCCACAGCTCCAGAACAAGCTCCGGCCCCACCTCGGCCATACCAGGGTGTCCGAGTGAAGGAGCCAGTGAAGGAACTGCTGAGGAGGAAGCGTGGCCATGCCAGCAGCGGGGCAGCTGTTACACCTACTGCGGTGAGGGGGCCACAGTGGACAGTGTGTGTGTTGGGGGTCACAGAGGGTTGGGCAGGGGTGTACCCTTTGGGGGCAAGAAGGTGGGCAGTTAGATGGGGATGTATAGGAGATGGACCTAGATCCTTGAGGTGGGATGAGGGGCGGGGGGCCGGCTTGCTCAGCCCATAAAACAGAGAGAGCTATTGATGAGGCCTCAGGAAGTGAATGGCACACACCTTGGTGTGAGTTGGGCATTCCTTCTGGGAAGATAAAGATGCCATTTCCCTAAATCACAGCATTCTTGCAAAATGGAAACACAAATCCCTCTAAATGGCTGGAGTGTTTTATTCTGATCAGGGAGAGTCTTGCCTAAGCTTTCTGCCCTGGAGTCCCTGGATGGGTTCCCTGCCTAGAACTGAGTGAAGATGGCTAAGCACCAGTCCTGTCCTGTCTTCTCCCTCTAGGTGGTGCTGCCCCATCAGCCCCTGGCGACCTACACCACAGTGGGTAAGAGCTCCCCACAGCCCGAGTGTCCTTCAGTCTCCTCATCTGGGTGGCATGGGCGGTTCTATAATCTCCTTTCTCCCACAGGTCCCTCCTGCCTTGACATGGAAGTTTCTGCTTCTACAGTGACGGAGGAGGGGGCCCTATGTGCCGGCTGGCTTTCCCAACCTGCCCCGGCCACTCTCCAGCCCCTGACCCCATGGACACCCTACACTGAGTATGTGTCCCATGAAGCTGTCAGCTGCCCCTACTCAGCTGACATGTATGTGCAGCCTGTGTGTCCGAGCTACACGGTTGTGGGGCCCTCCTCAGTGCTGACCTACGCCTCCCCTCCGCTCATCACCAACGTCACGGTATGTCACACAAAACAGAGCTGTTCCTGCCTGCCTATGGCACCTGTTTAGAAGTAGGGCTTTCTGACCCCTGGTCTTCCTTGCAGTTGGTTCCCGGGATCATCAGGTCATCCAAGTCTACCATGCCCTCCAGGGAGGCCTGTTCCTATTTTCATTTACCTAACTATCTCCCACAAAGATACCTGTCTTGTCGTGCCTTTTGTTCCTTTTGGTTGGGGAGAGCTCCTGCTTCTGTCCTGAATCTCCCCAGCTGGCCTGTAAGCAGTGAGTCTTGGTGACAAATTGAAGTTTTTAGTGAATGGGATACCAGGTGGACTCTGCCTTTCAATTCGAATAACTAAGTGAGTGACTGTTCACTGATTGTGGGAAGATTTCTGGGCTGAGCAAAAGGTGACAGAACTTTTCAGAAAACTATATATTTTGAGTCAGACCCAGCTATAGGTAATTTTTATTGGTTTTTTTTAGCTCTGTCTCTAATGTCAGATTGCTTGTGTTCAAATCCCAGCCCTTTACTTATAAGCTGTATGTCCCTGGCTTACTAACTTGATTTGTTGGAGCCTCAGTGTCCTCATCTGTAAAATGGAAATACTAACAAGAGGGAGGCTGTTGGGATGAAATGAGGTTATGCATGTGGAAGTTTTAGCACAGTTCCTGGCATACAGAAATCTCTCAATAAATAAATAAATTATTTACTGTCATCATATCAAAGTCTGCCAGCAATGTCAACCAACGCCCTCCTTCAACTGCCAGGCAGGAAAAGAAGGTCCTGCTCCCTGCCACTCCTGCCCCCAGCAATGGGGGAAGGCAGTCATAGTTTTGTGAGTGGTGTGACATATGTGACCAAAGAAATGGGAGTCCCTCCAGTGTGCAGGAAAGAAAAGGCTGATAGTTGTAGGGGTACCCAGCTGAACTCCAGGGAAATTGGGAAGTAGAGCTGGGTTTCCTGAGCAGTCATAGAGGCCACCCTCCAGGTGGAGCTTGTTTTGGTTCTTCATGACCCTTGGGTTCCCTGGAGGGTCTAATGTCATCTGATACACCTGTTCTCTGCCTCTAAGCACCTTCCTGGGAAGGCTTGTGGAAGGCCCACCTGGCTATCCTTGACATGAAGGTCTCTGCTTCTACAGTGAGGGAGGAGGGGGCCCTGTGTGCTGGCTGGCTCCAGAGATGAAGCAAGTCATTTCCATATCGGGGGCCCTTGGCCGGGACAAAGAGGGCAGGACATAATGGTTCCCAGCCATTTCATTACCAAGGATTCTTTTCTTTATTTATTCCCTTTCATCATCCCCACCTTCTTCTTTGAAATGTTCTGTGTAGCAAACAAACTGTATTTAGTAAGAAATAATTTATTTGTTTTGCTATTTTGTGAATTAACTCATCAAAGCTGGCTTGTGCTACCAGTAAGCACTCCTGATCAGTAGAGATAAGAACTGTATGGTGCTGGTTTGGTGTAATTCTACCCCTGCACAAGGAACCCTGCAGTTGCAATTGACCTATAGAAGTTGAGGACACAAAAATGAAGGGTTTCCATTTGGATTTTTGAAGTAATGGAAATAATCAGGCTTTTCCAGATCCTGTCTAGTTTCAGGTTGCTGGATTGGGTTCCTGAGGCTCATGTCAAAGGAGACGAAGTGGCTGTGCACAGTGAAATGTGCACACCAGCCAGGATGGGGGGAGCTTCCAGCTCCAACATGCTATGGAAAAACACCCTAAAGCCTTGCTACTCAAACTGTGCTCCCTGGACCAGTTGCATTGGCATGGCCTAAGATCTAACTAGACATGCAGAACTCCAGACCCTTCTCTAGACCTCCTGGACTGAAATATGGAAGCTGGGAAAAAAACAACAAAAACAAATTGAGTTCTAAAAGACTCCAGTAGTTTATTTTCAAGGCATAATGGCAACTGGAGAGAGATGACAAGGGAACAGGGATGAAAGGGGGAGATTTTGGCCATCTTAACATCAATTCATGCAGAGAACCTCTACTTCTGCCTACTTGCCTCCACTGTGAAAGAATAGTAGGATCTAGGCACTGCCTCTGGCAGGTGGGATCTAGGTTTGTGAGATAGTCGCTGTACAGGTGGGATTTTTGGTTCATGGAGCTCATGGGAGAATGGCCCTGGGCCTTGGAGCATCATGGGTCACCAGGGATGCCATGGCTATTTGCAGCTCAGAAACTGGAGGAGAGGATGCAGGAGGCACAAGCAGCAGCAGAAAGGCCATATTCACTGACAAAGCAGTGCTTTCCCCCATTACAGAATGGCTGGGCTTCCCAGGTGACCACCAGAAAGTGATGCAGCTGTGTTGTTCACCCAGACCTCAGGAGGCCAGATTTACTGTGTGGAGCCAGTGTGTCTGGGCAGGACAGTGGCCACCTCCAAGATACAGCTTCTGGGCTATGTGACAACCTCATTCTTTAACATGTATAATTCAGAATTTAAGATACATGTATTTTTCACATTTTAAGGTTTCGGAAATAGGGATATATTTTATATTCAATGAAATCTAGAAAATCCCCTCTAATTTGCTCAACCCTATGACTTCATTACCAATTGTATCCCATTTAATAGATGAGAAAAATGGAGCTTATGAGTTGGGAAGTAGCATAAGCAAGAACATGTAGCTAGTAAGTGACAGATGATGGATACAATTTAAGTGTGTCTAACTCTCCCTTGAGGGAGGTTTTGAGAAGGAGGAGGTAGAGCCCCCTGAAGTGAGAAACAGGGAAGGGCAGAGTTGAAGGAAGAATTGGAGATTCTTGAGTCAAGGGTGGGCAGGTGGATGTGCCAGGGCTGCTAAACCTTGGTCCTGTGTTTCCTCATCACAGACAAGAAGCGCTGCCACACCCACGGTGGGACCCCAGCTGGAGGGCCCAGAGCACCAGGCGCCCCTCACCTATTTCCCGTGGGCTCAACCTCTTTCCACGCTGCCCACCTCCACCCTGCAGTACCAGCCTCCAGCCCCAACCCTGCCTGGGCCTCAGTTTGTCCAGCTCCCCATCTCTATTCCTGAACCAGTCCTTCAGGACATGGATGACCCCAGGAGAGCCATCAGTTCCCTGACCATCGACAAGCTGCTCTTGGAGGAAGAAGATAGCAACACCTATGAGCTTAACCACACCCTATCCGTGGAAGGCTTTTAGGGCTGGATCCCACTTGAGAATCCTTTCCCCTGAAACTGGGATTTAAAAATAAGCTTGCAGTTGAGCTCAGATTCATATCTGGAATAACCATTTTATAACATGACCATTTCATAACATCATATCAAAACATAACGTAACTACACTTTTTACACGAAGCTAGAACTGTAGTCTTCCCTTTCTCCCTCCTTCTCTTTCTTCTTTTTTTTTCCAGTCCTCTTCCTTTGGTAAGAGAAATTCAGGATATTAGGGATAATATTTTATGCCAAGTTTTGTCAATTCTGCAATCCACTTCGTTTCCATTTCTATCACTTCTCATTCCTCAGGGATGTCCTTTTCTTTCCAGTGCCCTCTGCTGTGTCATAGTAGCAGCACTGTAGAACTGTCCTAGGGCCAGTTACACCCTCTGTCATTTTGAGATATATGGGTGCCCTGCGGGGAGACCAGCCTTGCCAGCATCTCCTGGGCGAGGCAGCCCAGGGCAAACCTGATGCCAGAGTCCTTGAGCTGTCAGTTCTCATAGTTGCTCCTTTGTTTGCTGTTCTCAGCCTTGGCCAGATTTACAGTCTGGGCAGCAAAGGCTCAACGGCTGGGGCTCAGCATAGTGACAGATAGGGATGGGAAAGGGTAGGGGCAGGTCAGGGAAGGGAGAGAGGGCAGAAGAGGGCTGGGAACACACTTTGGGGTTGGGGTGGGGGTGTGGAAGGGGAAGCTGGGTCTTAAGGGGAGAGGAAGAAGGCTGAGAAGTCATTTAGCTCTAGCTTTCTTGATTTCTAAGAGGAACAGTGAATTCAGGAAAAATATTGCATTAAGAGTTAGTTTTGAAGCTCTTCTAGAGGATGTTTCCAAAGAAAGCCGAGTTGTCATAAACAGAAGGATGGATGTGTTTTGTGACCCCTTCCAGATACTCTGCCATACCCCATGAAGCCTATTGGCAAGGGGTCCTGCTTAGTGATCTTATGTGGATTTTCTAAATGTCTTAGGGCATCTATAAGCCACCATTATGAGGAGCCAGGGCTTCTTCCTTCCAAGCACCATAGTTCCTGGGGGTTTCTATCCCGAAGTACCATTAGGTTTTATTTCAATTTTTCTTTTATATCATTGCAGGGGACTGAGTATAATTGTTGCCAGGGTGCTTAGCTCCTGATGGTGGATGTGTGCCTTGGGAGCCAGCACAATCATCTGCTGATGACACCATTGTCACCATTAGGCAGTCACTTTAGTCAGCAGAATCCACACAGAAGTAAAATGGGAGGGAGAAGGGGAATTGCACGAAAGATGGAAGGAGACCCTCATCGTTATACAAAATACATATATGATGGTGTGAGGGGGAAGAAAAAAGATAGAGAAATATGTCACAGTAGATTGGGTAGAGAGAGGTGATGGGAGGGGAGGGAAGGGGAGGGGGGATAGGGAGGGCAGTAGAATACAACAGACACTAGTTTTGCTGTAGGTATAAACCTGGCTGTATAACCAATGTGATCCTGCCACTGTACATGTGGAAAAATGAGAATTCATACACCATTTGAATCAAATGTATGATATGTCAAGATTATTGTATTGTCTTGAGCAACTAATTAAAAAAAAAGAAGTAATAGACTGCTGGGAAATAAACAATTTCTTTGACACATTTTCTTTGCCATTCTAAATAAAAACTCTGGACAAAGTTGCCTTTCTTTTTTAGAAGTTTTTTCCTGTTTTGGGTTATATTTTAATCCCAATTCTTGGTATCTGCTTAAAACCCTGGTACACATATTTTGAATTATTTTTATTCAGACTTAATGTTTCATTTTAAAAGCTTGATACAGCAACGTAGATGATAAATGTACATCTCGGTTGACAGTATGTGATCAGGCAAGGAAGAGGAGAGGTCCCAATCCTGTTGTATTAAACCCCTGGTTCCCCATAGAAATCTATGCAAGATTTTCCAACTCTTTAAGGATTTGAGAGGATGCAGAAACAACCTTTACAAAGGAACTAAAGTTGGCAAAGAAAATATGTAGTTGTTAGGATTGAAATTGTATCTTTCCCCCTTCTTACCTTGAGGCCCAATGGCTTATTTGTAATCATCCATTTAGGTTTCTTTCTGGGTTATTCTGCTAAAATGGAAACATTTTCAATAAAGATTTATGGAGTCATTTCTTCACCAAAGTGTTTTATTTCTTATAAAATTAACCCCCACCTTAGTTTTCAGTCTCCCAATGGCAGTGCCATTAGAGGGTTTTGCAAAGTGATCTGTTGCAAAGAGGAGATAAAAACCCATCGCTGCTGTGTTCACCGTCCAATTATCCCGTATAGGTCATACACATGGCATGGCCAGGTGGCTTGGTCTCCAGGAGACTGGGGAGTGGGTTGGTGTCTGAGAATTGAAAGAAAATATTTCACTTCTATTGCTCCCATTATACATGTTACACAAGTAACTGATGATGCTGGTTGTCCAGGGAAAAGTTCTACCATTTGCATTTCTAAAGAGCCACCAGTCAGAACCTGGGGACTTGTAATATCATTCCCAGTGAAACTCATCTCTTAGTGCTTGACATCACAGTGAAATAGAAATTGAATAATTCAGTCAATTCCCTCCACCATCAATCCTTGGAGTGAGTAGCGATTTTGGAGGGGGCTTCTTTCCTGGTGTTTTCCTGAGTTACTAAGGACTTATGAGCTCTCTGCCTTTTTTGTTAATCTTTGTTGGGGTAATTGCTTTCAAATTAACCATGTTATTCTACTGTATGTCTTATTTCCAGATCTGATGGGATAGTAACATATCCAGGTTTTTAGCTCAATTGAGAGTATTGAGACCATTAATTATTTTTGTGTAGTCATGTAGATCAAAGCCTTGAAAAAAAGAGCTGGGGTTGTAGCTCAGTGGGAAAGCACTTGCCTAGCATGGGTGGGGCCCTGGGTTTGATTCTCAGCACCACATTATAATACATAAATAAAATAAAGCTTAAATTCTTAAAAAAAACCCAGAAGACATGAAGGAAAGGCATTAGGATTTTTTTTCCTATAGCTTTAGTGAGACTCAACTATAAGAAAAGCTCTATTAAAAATGCACTGTGCCTTAATCAACTGTCTTTTGAAGTAATAGTGTGAACAGCCTGGTCTGCAATGGGAAGAGAGAGGTCAGCTTGGTGTAGATTGATGTTTTGTAAGATTCTGTTCTGCATTTCCAGCATGAAGATGGGGATCCAGGAACAGATGGGTATATGGTAAGATGAAGAAGCTAGACATGTAGAAAATAACAACATCATATAACCAAGTGGCTCAAATTCCCTGAACATCAGGCTGTAACCCATCTAAGTGGAAGTTTAAAGATATGTTCTAAAACTAAACATAAATTTCTTGAAATCAGAAACCATAGGTAACTGATTTTATATGAATTTACTTTATTTGTGAGTCTAGAATGATATGCTCAATGATTTCTTGTTGAATTAATTGGGGAGATTCTCTACTGACTGCTCCTAAATTTGTTATGGATGATTGCAAGTTGATTCTAGGAGGGTCTCCGTAACTGGACCTGTAGACACAGATGCTGCTCAAATGTTTTCTCTGAAAGCTTGGATAGAAACATCCAGAAGCTGGCATTCTATTTGTCAGTTCTATAGCTGCAAAAGGAGTTTGATTCATTCATTCAGCACATTAATTTATAATAATTGTGTGGTACAAGGTGATGTTATGATTTATGAAAATATGTGGAATAATTAAATCAAGTAAATTAGCATAACTATTACTTTAAATATTTTTTGTGGTGAAAACATTTGAAATTTACTTTATTATAAATTTTGAAATGTATAATACACTGTTATTAACAATAGTCACCATACTAAGAAATAGGTCTCAAAACAAAACAAAACTCTGTTTATCCGTTCTGAGATTTTGACCATCATCTCCCCATTCCTTCCACCCTCCAGCCTCCCTAACTACCATTCTACCTTCTGCTTTTATGAGTTTGACATTTTTAGATTCAGCTTGTGAGAATACATGTATTTGTCCCTCTATGCCCAATTTATCTCATTTAAATGTTCTTCAGTCCTATTCATGTTGATGCAAATGATGGAATTTCCTCTGTTTTAAAGGCTCAGTAGTATTCCTTGGGTATAGATACCACATTTTCATTATTCATTCATCTGTTAATGGGCATGTAAGTTGATTCCATAACCTGGTCATTATAAATAGTGATGCAAGGAACATGGGAATACAAATATTTCTGCTACTTATTAATTCAAATCTTTTGTATAAATACCCAGAAATGGATTGCTGGATCATATGTTAATTCTAGCTTAAGTTTTTTTGGGGGGACCTCCATATAATTTTCATAATTAAAATTCTAATTTACATTCTCACAGTATACAAGGGTTCCCTTTTCTTTACATTCTTGCCTACCCTTGTTATCTTTTGTTTTTTCGATGATAGTCCTTCTGAGAAGTATGAGATAGAACCTCATTATGATTTTAATTTGCATTTTGTTAGTAATTAGTGATATTGAACATTTTTGAAGTATCATATTTACTTATTGAGTGCCAGCTCTGGGATAGGCAGTTGTCAAGACTTATACAGGTGCCTGCCTTGAATAGTTTCATAGCCCAGTGATCTCTTTTCAATGAGTATTTATTCTAATATATGTATATTTAATTATGAATTATATCCTTGAACTACTCTATGAATATAATATCCATTATAGAACACCTATGATAGTAGCAATTTTAAAAGATAAGGTAAATATAAAACAAGTAATATTTAATTATTTCATTTATTAATAATATAAAACTATATTTGACCCCATAAATGTAAATAATATTTAGAAGGGCAAATATTACTGAATATGGCTAATTGCATTTATAAATCTTTGTGATGAGCCAATTTAAAGGGATGGGCCTAACTTTGATTTCAGTACTTTGTTTGAATGGAAGTCAAAGCTGAAAAGGATATACACAAAGATATTTAGGTCCATATAAAAGCAGGGTGTCATTAGATGTGCTAAGCAAATTATAAAAAATCATTTAGAAATCCCTTCCAGCAGTTATGCAAAGGTTTTGGTTTTCAATTTGATCTTTAAATTCCCATCTTTATTGAAGTCAACTAGTGTTGCTTGAAGATGTTGCATTTTTGCATTTTTAATACAATGAATTAAAAATCACCCAAACTCTTTATTTGGAAAAAAATTTAAAAAGCTAAAAATATCTGCTTCCACTTATTTTTCCTAATAAAAAGGCTTGTGATTTTTTTTTTACCCCCCGCGGGTACTGGGGATCAATTCCAGGGCCTTGTGCCAATGAGCTGAGCACTCTCTCACTGAGCTACCGCCCCAGTCCATGACAGTTTTTATGGGTGACACACAATGTGATTTCAACCTTCAGCCAAAACTGAGCACTGCCACTCACAACCCTTCCTCCTCCAGTGGGGTTGTGACTGGGGTCAGGACTGAATGCTGAAGAAGAGATTTCAGTTGTGAATTATTCATCAGCATCTCCTAACTCTGGGATTTGGTTAAAAATGTCTTTCAGAGGGAGAAGAAATGTGATTGACATGCTGCTGGGGATTGAACCCAGGGCTTTGCATGTGCTAAGCAAGTTTTCTGCCATTGAACTAAATTCTTAGTCCACGTGATCTATATGTTTTTACCGAGATAATTCTAGATAGGTATTTC